CTGATAGGGCCCCCCAAACTGACCCAAAATAGGACTATCAGGTCAATTCTCCAAGGTGCCAATTCTGTAGCCATATAATCACCTGTCTCATTGATGGACTCAAAATGGATACCACCTCCCCAGAGGGATCCCTTCTTCTGAACACCCATTTTATATCCTAATTAGCCCCCGATATATGCAACAAAGTTCGAAATAGACACAGGAACACAAACCCCTCAAAAAGACCTGGCCTTTAATAACAGAGACGAGGAGACCCAAGTCAAAAAAAAAAAAAAAAAAAGGAAAGATCAGGCTGAAGCTGAGGCCCAGAAGAAGGCCTTTCAGCTCATAGGTAAACACTAGTAAATTGTCTTCAGAGGCTGAGACTGTTTCAGGTGTGTCTGGAAAGCCAATAAAGATATACACTGAGTGGCCAGATAACTATGACCACCCCATCAGTACTTTGTTGGGTCACCTTTTGCCTTCAATACTGTGGTGATTCTTCTTGGCATTGACTCCACGAGATGTTGAAAGGTGATGCAAGGAATCTAACACCATGCCTAATGAATAGTACTGTCCAGTTCTGTGAGATTTCATGTATTGTGGAACCAGCTGCCTGATGGCTCTTTTAACTTCATCCCACAAATGCTCAATTGGATTGAGATCTGGTGATTGTGAGGGCCACCTAAGCAAGGTAAAGTCTCCCTCATGTTCTTGAAACCACTCCTGCACAATACGAGCACCGTGGCATGGCGCATTGTCTTGTTGGAAGAAGCCATCTCCATTGGGATACGCCATCAACATGGTAGGATGAACTTGATCAGCAACGATACTTAGGTATGTTGTGCTATTCAGACATTGTTCCACACGAATTAAAGGGCCCAAATCATGCCAGGAAAACATGCCCCAAACCCTAACACTGCCCCCACCAGCTTGAAGGGTTGTACTCATGCATGTGGGGTGCATGCTTTCATGCTATTTCCACCAAATTCTCATTCTGCCATCTGCATGATGCAACTGGAAACGTGATTCATCGGACCTCATGACTTTTTTCCAATGCTCAACTGTCCAATCCTTGTGTTCCTGTGCGAATTGGAGACGTTTTATCTAGGTAACTACAGACAGCAAAGGTGTTCGAACAGGCCTTCAGCTTCCACATCCCATATGATGCAGTGTATGGCTAATTTGCCTACAAACGTCAGGTGGTCATAATAATCTGGCCACTCAGTGTATTTTCCCCACCCTTTAGGGTGTAGCTGGGGTAAGCTATCCTTTTCCCATGCATTCCTAATTATGCCAGAAAGCCCTGCACCCCTCTTGGGGTGAGATCTCTTAGTATGCCTGGGGACAACTATTTCATATGTTACTATGTCTTCCCCTGGTGAATACTGAAATTAATCCTGACATTTGGGCCACTCAGGGGCAGGATAGTGAAAACCATCACTGCTTCCACAGTTCAGGTAACCTGGCTGATAAAGCTTCATTCAACAAAACCTCACTGATTCTTGGGTGAGTTGACTATCCAAAATATATTGACTGTCATGGCTCCTATCTTTAGATAAGCCCCTAATCATAGTAGTCCTAGCCTTGGTCTTCAGCCCTTGCTTATTAAACCTCCTAAGCCACTTTGTTTCTTCTTGTATAGAGGCTTTCAAGCTAAAGATGGTACTTCAAACGCAACCCCAGATGGAGACAAATGCCGTTTTCCATGGACCCCTAGCCTGGCCTCCTCTATTGGGACCCTGACAACTGCTCCTCCACAAAGACCACTGTCATTAGGAAATAGCGAGAGAGGTCATTGCCCCTGCTCCCAACAGCAGTTGGGGTCTCCTAATCAGAGGGGAGACTGGGAGGAGTTAGCTTGACAAGTAGGCAAACAGACCAGTGGTCCAGAGGAAAACAAAGATGGAATGTAGGCAGGGAAAGACACAGCAATTTGAGCAAGCCTAACCATAGAAACCAACCATACAGAAATAACAATGTCTTCAGACTCAAGAGAGGGAGTTATGTGAAACTAGGGAGGGGCTACAACAATAAGTTGGGCGCATAGAAACAGAGAAAGTTCAGGTCTATTGCTGGGCAAGAAAAATTGAGGTAACCAATCAGCTGGTGACATGGGTAGATATGGAGCAGGCTTGTAGCAAATATATACTCTAAGACTACAAGAATTCAGTGGAAACCCATTACTGTGCCCCATCCCCGTGCAGAGTCTGAATCTCCTTGTACTAAATGTTCTACACTTTTGCTTAAAATCTTCTGGTCTGAGATTTCATTCTTCTGCTTCATGGGACTTGATCCCAAGAAAGGGAAGGGACCTCGGCTCAAGGTTCAGGTTATCACTTATACTCAGGAAATACCACCCTAGACACTATCATAGCCTCCTTTTGTGCCCAGGCCTCGTCGTCACTCTGACAGAGAGCAAAGATTTTGGCTCTGAAGGAAAACAATCCCCTTTCAGCTAAGACCTTATGCCCCTCTTTCCCTGTAAAAATTCAGTGCCAAAAATCCTTTAAAGGGGAATATAGACCCTGAGACCCCCAAAGCAAGGATGATGGGCCATGTAAGGTATAGAAATTCACTGAGCCAGAAAGCTCCAGATGCCTAGCAAGGGGCAAAACTGGGAAAATAAGAATCTACCCCCGGGTAACCTAGCTACCCCTTTCATATCACTAGTCAGGGGGCTTATCTCCCTGATCATTTCCTCTCTAAAGAAAACATAAAGTTGTATCTCAGCTCCAGAATCAGAAAAACAACAAAACCAGACAAGTGATGCTGTGGTAGCCTCAGGACCAGCTTTTCCCTCCCAAGTCACTGACCAGGACTACTTTCGAGCCTTCACCAACCAACCTCTTGGGGAAATCATGCTGCTGTAACCCCTTGCTCCAAACATAAGAAATCTATACTGTTCCAGCAACTTCACAACCAACATTCCCTTTTGATTAGACCATATTCCACTTCCTAAGACCACATTCCATTTGCTAAGACCATTATCTTTACACTCAGGACTCCCCCAGAGAATTATCCGCCCAAAAAAAGACCACCCTAGAGTCCTTTAAAATTTCTGACTCCCTATACCTGCTGGTGCTATTTTGGGGCTCAGCCCATCTGGTATTCCAGGTTACCTAATAAATTTATAATGCCTTACCACTTTGGCCTCATGCATTTCTACTTTGGCAAACCTATCAATTAGAACATAACTTTAATGTTGAGAGCTATTAATAACTGAATATGGAGAGGAGGGATGTTACTGTTTCCAAACCCATGTCTATAAAAATGTTCTAGTGTTATTTCATCTCGTTGCTCCAGTAGAACTTGCTTCAGGCTCACCGGGTCTATGTCTCACAAAAAACCTATCCAATGACGTTTATTTTTGCCTGGTTATTAGCACTTAAGTGAAGTGAAACACTGCATTGCCATTGAACAAGTTTATCACACGGTTTGCTACTTGCCAGGATGATAATTCTCAATAAACCTTTTCATTTCTCACCATTTCCCAGGCATTTTCCTGGATTAGTAAAGTAGGAATATCTTCCCTACCCTCCTCCCTCTTATGAAAACAGATCCTCAGCTGCTGTTTGTTGTTCCTCCCTCTGAAGGTCTTAGAATTCCTCTATGGTCAGCTCAGTGTTGTACTATTCCACCAACTCCTCCACATCATCATCATCCACCTTGAAGCCCAAGGACTTACCAAGAAACACAATATCATCCACAACAGACACAGCCCTCAAAGTCTCTTTCACCAATAGACTCAAGCCACAGTTCCATCCAGGCTGATTGCATAGTATTGGAAGACACTTTCTCCCATGCTTTGTCAATGAGCCTCAAGCAAGTGAAAATATTAAAATGTTCATTCCAGCCCTAACTGGTTTGGCTCAGTGGATAGAGCGTCGGCCTGCGGACTGAAGGGTCCCGGGTTCGATTCCGGTCAAGGGCATGTACCTTGGTTGTGGGCACATCCCCAGTGGGGAGTGTGCAGGAGGCAGCTGAATTGATGTTTCTCTCTCATCAATGTTTCTAACTCTCTATCCCTCTCCCTTTCTCTCTGTAAATAATCAATAAAATATATTAAAAAAAAAAAAATGTTCATTCCAGAAGTACCTGGAGGTTAAATTCATTTCAGAGGTCACCTCAAAACAACACCTCTGAAACAGTGCCTTTATGTAGAGCCCTTTAAATTTAGAAATGAGCTGCTGGTCCATGGGCTGGATGGGAAGAGTTGTGTTAGGTGGCAAGAACCCAATAGAAATGAAACTGTACTCCTCCATCAACTCAGCCTCCAAGCCTGGAGGGTGGAAAGGAACCTTGTCCATTATAAGAAGTGCCCTGAGTGGCAAATATTTTTCCCGGAAGTATTTCTTTAAATTTGGGGCAAACACTTCATGAATCCACTCAATTAAAAAATGGCTGGTTAACCAAGCTTTGCTATTAGCCCTCCACAACACATTCAACTTGTTTTTCAAAATTATTTTCTTGAGAACTGGTGGGTTTTCACAATAGTAGACAAGTAGAAGCTTCAGTTTAAACTCTTCACTCACATTCCCACATAACAATAAGGCCAGCCTGTGATTGGCTTATGTTTTGGCAATGACTTCTCCTCCTATGTGATGAAGGTCTCTGACATTTTCTACCAGAAGAGGCCTGCCTCATCATAATTGAACACAAAATTATCAGCACTACTTTCTTAGAACTACAGACTCCCCATTCCTCACTACACTATAAATGCGACTTTACATTTCTTAAATTACCAAATCGCACCCTACTAGCCTTTAACAAATCACTTTCGGCACCTGTTCCATGGGTGATCTCAGGAGGTCAGTATGCAGCATCTTCACTTTTTCATATAGCATTGTCCCTAATTGGTATCACTGACGGTTTTTCATTTATCAGGGTTTGGGAAACATTTTTTTTTTTTTTTTTTGCAAAGGACAATTTGGATACTTATAACATCGTCCGTGGGCCATACAAAATAATCAACTTGAAAATTAGCCTCCTGCATTTGGTAAAAAATTTAATTAACTCACCAGTAATGCCTTGGTAGGGCCAGATCAAATGATTTCTTGGGCTTTATATGGTCCTCCTCAGGCTGGACATTCTCTACCCGATCTAAATAAAAAATAATTTTTCTACCTCTTCAATTGAATGTGATCTTTGTTTCCTGAGCACTTTCACACACATAGTAACATCAGCACTCTTGGTAGCCTTTTTGTTTTAAAATTAAGCTAATCGTTGATTTTCCCATGTCATACTCAATAGCCAGATCAGACACAGGGCACCTCTGTCACACTTTGCAATTATTTCTTTTTGAAGCTCTATTGTCATTCTCACAACTTTCCTTTTCACTTTGCTGTTAGCACTAACCTTCTTAGGACCCGTGGTCATTTGGTGTCCATTTTTAATAACTAGAGGCCCAGTGCACAACATTAGTGCACTGGGGGCGCAGGGGGTGGGGGGTGACTCAGCCCGGCCTGCGCCCTCTCACAGTCTGAGACCCCTCAAGGGATGTTTGACTGCCAGCCACAAGGGGTCCTTAGTGCCGCCGTGGAGGCAGGGGAGGCTACTGCCACCGCCATTGTGCTTGCCAGTCTTGAGCCCGGCTTCTGGCTGAGCAGCGCACCCCCTGTGGGAGCGCACTTACCACGAGGGGACAGCTTCTGTGCTGAGCGTCTGCCTGCTGGTGATCAGTGCACATCATAGTAACCAGTTGTTCCGCCGTTCTGTCAATTTGCATATTATCATGGGTTTTATCATGTAGGATAAGCTGCCACAAAAGTCAAAAAACATGAAAATAGCCCTAACTGGTTTGGCTCAGTGGATAGAGCGTCAGCCTGCGGACTGAAGGGTCCCAGGTTCGATTCCAGTCAAGGGCATGTACCTTGGTTGTGGGCACATCCTCAGTAGTGAGTGTACAGGAGGCAGCTGAATTGATGTTTCTCTCTCATCAATATTTCTAACTCTCTATACTTCTCCCTTTCTCTCTGTAAAAAAATCAGTAAAATATATATCTTTTTAAAAAACATGAAAATATTCACAGCAATTTCCTGAGATGTTAATAATGTGAGGTTAGTGGTAAACTGACTCACACTCATACATTCCTCCTTTGTTTGTCACCAGAGAGACACGTGACTGATCATACAAGTATCAGCACGAAAGGGTTGCTGGGTTGAGAACTGAAGTTTTGTTCAACAACTAAGACATTTTTTCCATGAACAACTTGTTCGAGAACCAAATTGCTGGAGATGGGAGATGTTCACCAACTGAGTTTTGACTTTATTGTTACAGGTGGTATATCCAATTCTTTAATCCATTTTAATATATTTGTGTGGTGTCAACAGTCTGGTTTCATTCTTTTGCATGTGGATTTCCAAATTTCATGTCATTTATTTAAGAGACTTTCCTTTCTCCAGTGTTTCTGGCTCCTTTGTAGAAAATCAGCTGTCCATATATGTTTGGGTTTATTTTAGGGCTCTCAATTCTGTTCCACTAATATTTTCTACAAATACCACACTATTTTGATTACCGTATCGTAGTTTTGTAACAGTCTGAAGTCAGGGATGTGATATTTCTGGCTTTGTTCTTTATTTTTTCGGTCAGGATTGCTTTGACTATTCAGGTTCCTTGTCATTCCATGCAAATTTGAGGATTTTTTGTTCTATTTCTGTAAAAAATGCCATTTGGGTTTTACTGGAGACTGCATTAAACCTGAATATTGTTTTAGGAATTATGGCCACTTAACAGTGTGAATTCTTCCAATCCATGATCATGAAATATATTTTCATTACTTTATGTCTTCAATTACTTTCACTAATGTATCATTAGTTCTCAGTATACAGGTCCTTCACCTACTTTGTTAAGCTTATTTCTAAATATATTATCCTTTTTGTTGCAACTGTAAATGGGATTGTTTTCTTCATTTCAATTGTGATATTTCATTGTTAGGAATATATTGGATATTTGTACCTGATTTTGTATTTTGAAACTTTAATGTATCTTTTCATTGTTTCTAAGTTTATGGTGGAGTCTTTAGAGTTTCCTACATATATAATTATATCACTTGCAAACAGTTTTACTCCATTTCCAATATGGATGCCTCTTATTTCTTTTTCTTCCCTGACAGGTCTAGCTAGAATGTTCAGTACTATGGTGAATAACAGTATTAAGAGTGGACATCCTAGTCTTGTTTCTGATTGTAAACATTTGAATGGATTTGTTAAGTAGCAATAAGGTATATAAATGTCCAAATTTTCAGGATAGCTGAATTATTTTCCAAAACAGCTATATACCAATTTACCACCCTACGGACAATCAATAAGAGTTACCACTATCGCCCTACTTAGTTTGGCTCAGTGGACAGAGTTTCAGCCTGCAGACTGAACGGTACCAGGTTCGATTCTGGTCAAGGGCACATGCCTGGGTTGTGGGCTCAATCCCCAGTGGGGGGATGTGCAGAAGGCAGTTGATCCAAGATTCTCTCAACATCAATGATGTTTCTAACTCTCTCGCCCTCTCCATTCCTCTATGAAATACATATATATATATGTAGGTAGATATATATATATATATATATATATATATATATATATTTTAAAGTTACTACTATCCTATCTACACCTTCTTGAGCCCTTGGCTTTGCCAGAGCAATTTTGACCAATGTAATGGATACAGATATTTATCTCCCTGTCACAATTTGCATTTCCCTAATTATTACCATCTTTTTGTCTTCTTCATAATGTTTTAGTACTATTCTTATTTCTCCTCTGTTAAATCCTCTGCTTATATTTTTGGGCCAGTTACCAGGTATGATATTACTACTATCTTTTAATATTTAATATTTATAGGTTATACATGTATCCTTGTCTGCAAGATTCCTGGTTATGTCTTGCTCTTTCGTTTCTGTTGGGTGGCCTTCTCTAATTTAATTTTTTATGGTACTTAATAAATTGTATCTAACAATCCTTAGTCAATCCTTTGTTATATGAGTTGCAGGTATGTTTTGTGGCTTGACTTTGCTCCTCCTGACTTTAACACAAATAAATTTTTCTGTTGTTTTTTTCTTTTCTTTTATGGCTAAAGCTTAATATATTTTATTTGAGAAATCCTTCCCAACCCCATGGTAATGTGTGGAATAGTGAGGCCTCTGGTGGTAGAGAAACCTTCTTCTGTTCCACACTATCTGTGGGAATGGAGCTGTACCACAGCAGTACAATGATAAAAATACATATTAGGAATGAAGATCTCAGAAAGAATATACACAGGCTTACCACAGAAATATTAAATGTTTGTTTCCAAACAACCACAATAAAATGAGTATCACAATAAAGTTAGTCACATGAATTTTTGGATTTCCCAGTGCACATAAGTTATGTTTAGTCTACACTGAAGTCTAGTATGTTATAGCAGTGTTAAAAAAGTGTACATATGGTAATTAAAAAATACTTTCTTGCCGAAACAGGTTTGGCTCAGTGGATAGAGCGTCTGCCTGTGGACTGAAAGGTCCCAGGTTCGATTCCGGTCAAGGGCATGTACCTGGGTTGCAGGCATATCCCCATTAGGAGATGTGCAGGAGGCAGCTGATCGATGTTTCTCTCTCATCGATGTTTCTAACTATTTCTCTCCCTTCCTCTCTGTAAAAAATCAATAAAATATATTTAAAAAAATAAGTAAATAAATAAAAATAAAAATAAAAAATACTTTCTTGGGAAAAAATGCTAACCATTATTTGAGCTTGTAGCAAGCAGTAATCCTTTTTCTGGTGGAGGGTCTTGCCTTGATATTGATGGCTGCTGATTTATCAGGGTGGTGACTGCTGAAGAATGACACATGACTGTGACAACTTCTTAAAATAAAACAAGTTTGCTGCATTGATTGACTTTTCCTTTCACAAAGGATTTCTCTGTAGTATGTGATGCTGTTTCATAGCATTTTACCCATAGTAGAAGTTCTTTCAAAACTGGAGTCAACTCTCTGAAACTACCCTGCTACTTTAACTAAATTTATGTACTATTCTACATCCTTAGTTGTCATTTCAACAATCTTCCCAGTGCACTCACTAGGAGATTCCATCTCAAGAAACTTTCTTTGATAATCCATAAGAAACAATTCATCAAAGTTTTATCATGAAATTCCAACAATCCAGTCATATCTTCAGGCTCCATTTCTAATCCTAGTTCACTTGCTATTTGACATCTACAGTTACTTTCTCAACTAAAGTCTTGAGCCCCTCAAAATCATCCATGAGGATTGGAATTAACTCTTCTAAATTATTGTTAATGTTTATACACACAGATACACATATGTATAAAGATATATAATGAAAAAAAAAAAAATATATATATATATATATATATATATATATATATACTTAATTAGCACCCAAGGATGTCTTCCTATTGATTTTAGAGAGAGAGGGATAAGGAGAGCAAGAAACATTGAAAGTGCCCAGATGAGGCCCAGCTGTAAAGCAATGCAAACTGCTGTTGGGCCTTGGGCCTTCTTTTGGAAGTTTTGGGTCTCTCTGACCCAGCTGTAGTTTGTTAGGTAATTTCAGATTGCAAAGGGCCAGATAATTCATATGCAAAAGCATCTGCACACAGCTTGGGTGGGGCGGGGTCTCAGGGTATCAACAGGGCAGAGCAAACAGCTATGGCTGATCCTCTGCCCTGCCCTAAGAAGTCCCAGGTCTCAGTGTCCCGAAGTAATAGCTGCCAGCACCTCTGAGAGAAAGCCGCCGTCGATTTCCGGCCGATGCCAGACAGTCCAGTTTCTCCACAGAGACTCGCCCGGAACTGAAGTTCAGAGCCGTCGGGAGCTTGAGACTCCCTCCCGACTGAAAAAGACAACCACGTCCTCATTTGCCAGCCCTTTCCGCGTGCGCCTCCATACCTCTGCACTTTACTTCTGCACCTCCTGAGTCTCAGTGTGCTTTTCTCTTTCCTTCTAGTTGTAGAATTTCCACTCAGCCAGCCTTCCTGTGGTTCTAGATCAGCCGTGGGCAAACTACAGCCCGCTTGAAATGAATAAAACTAAAAAAAAAAAAAAAAAGACCATACCCTTTTATGTAATGATGTGTACTTTGAATTTATATTAGTTCACACAAACACTCCATCCATGCTTTTTTTCCGGCCCTCCAGTCCAGTTTAAGAACTCATTGTGGCCCTCAAGTCAAAAAGTTTGCCCACCCCTGTTCTAGATGATGTCCGTTTTCTCTTTTAGTTGTATTTTTGAAGTGGTTGTGTGAGGCAATTTCAAGTGTTTACCTATGCCGCCATCTTGGTTTCTACTCTCTTTGAATTATTCTTTAGCTTAAGGGAATGTTGTTGCTGGTTTGACCTTTTATCCAGACCACTAAAATTTGGTACATATGAGCAATAATGCTGTTCCGCTTTGTTATCATCCACGTGTTCACTGGAATAGCAGTTTTAATTTGCATCAAGTATTTTTCCTTTTGCATTTACAACTTAGGTTACTGGTGCAACTTTTTTTTTAATATGCCTTCTTTTGATTTAAAGTGATAATCAAGTAACTTTTCCTTTCACTTGAATACTTCAAGACCATTGCGGTGTTAACTAGCCTAATTCCAATATTTTTATATCTCAGTTAATAGGGAGGTCCGAAGAAAGAGGGAGACAGGACAGCTGGTCAGTGGAGTAAACAGAACACACCTTTATCAATTAAGTTTGCCATTTACAAGGGTGCAATTCATGGTGCCCCGAAAACAATTACAATAGCAACATCAAAGATCACAGATCACTATAACATACTAGTATACAATAATGAAGAAGTTTAAAATATGAGAATTACTGAAATGTGAAAGATGCACAAAATGAAAAAATGCTGTTGGAAAATTGTGTTGATAGAGTTAATTGATGCAGGGTTTCCACAAACATTCAAAATAACATGAAGCACAACAAAATTATGTATGCCGGTAGGAATGCTTGCTCAGAGTGAATTATTCTTAAGTTTATAAACTACATGAGATAACTGGTCATAACAATTTGTAACTTGCTAGGTGACAAAAGCTAGCTGAGTAGATGTACTTTATGGAGAAACCCTCTGTATTAAAATATTTAGTGAAAACAAAAACTATCAGTAAAAGGCTCTGAGAAGTTAAGGAACTGCGTAAAAGGTGAAGGGATAATTTACATGTTGTAGAAAAATTGAGTGAAATTAAATTACTAGGAGGAAAAAAAAGAGCAATAACTTAATCTAACTGGGGGATCCTTGGCATCACCAGAATTGCTATCCTCAAAAAGTTTAAATCTGTTGATGTCCAATAACCCACATTTCATATGAATCATAGTACTGTCTTATAGCACAAGAGTAGAAAGGTAAGTCATCTATATTTTCTCAATTTTTAAAGATTAAGTCATCTATATTTTCTCAATTGTCGTTTACAATTTAAGTCTTCAATTCATCTAGAATTGGTTTTAAAATTGAGGTAGAGAAAGGGTGTTTCCCACTCAGATGTAAAATATCCTGTTAATATTAAACTTTAAAAGTATAATATGCCTCTTTCATTGTATTTTATTTTATGATATAACTCCTGCTGAATATATTAATGTCCATCCCAGCAATTTGTTAGATTTCAATTTTAAAATATTTTTAAAAGCAAAGGAATTTATCTTTTAACATACAAGATCATGAGAATTCTCGCTTCATATTACAGTGTTTTACAAATTATCATACTTTAAAAAGATAGATTGTAAAAACAATATACAACTTCAAAATGCAAAGGCCCAGCTGTGAAGCAATGCAAGCTGCTGTGGGGCCTTGGGCCTTCTCTTGGAAGTTCTGGGTCTGTCTGGCCCAGCTGCAGTTTGTTAGGTAATTTTCAGATTGCAAACGGCTAGGGCATTCATATGCAAAAGCCTCTGCTGCAGCCTGGGTGGGGAAGGGTCGCAGGGAATCCACAGGGCGGAGCAAGCTGTTATGGCTGATCTTCAGCCCTGCCCTCAGGGGCCCCCGCATCTCAGTGTCCTGGTAATTGCTGCAAGCACCGCTGAGGGAAAGCCACCCTCAAGTTCCGAGTTCTGCCTGCTGTCAAAAAGACAGCCACATCCTCAGGTGCCAGCCACTTTCCGCGCGCACTTGAGCCTCTGTACCTCTGCACTTTACTTCCGCATCTCCCCTGAGTCTCAGTGTGCTTTTCTCTTTCCTTCTAGTTGTAGAATTTCCACTCACTAACCCCCCTGCCAGCCTGGTCATAGGCAGACATCTTGTGAGGGCATGAGAGTAAATTTGCATATTTCCTCTTTATTATGTAGGATTTAAAGCCTTAATATTTAGAGTGTTACAGCTGTCTCCTTCTCCCTGCATTTTCTGCCACCACTCATTCCAGTCCTGCCCTAGGTTTTCATCACTCTACTGTCTGTGTCCATAGGTAAGATATTTGGTTAATCTCTTCCCACTCCCCCTCTCCCCACTTCCCTCTGACACTCATCAGTCTGTTCCCTGCTACCATGCCATTCTACGTTATTCACCAGTTTATTTTGTTCATTAGACTTCTTGTTCGTTTATTTTGAATTTTAGATTCAATTGTTGATAAATATTAATTTCCATTTTGTTTTTCACTTTTTAAGTCTCTTTTCCTTCTTTTTCTTTGTGTTCTTAAAATATATCCTTCAACATTTCATGTAATACTGGTTTGGTGGTGATGAACTCTTTTAGTTTTTTTCTTGTTTGTGAAGCTCTTTATCTGTTCCTCAATTCTAAATGAGATATTTGATAGATAGAGTAATTTTGGTTGTAGGTCCTAATTATTCCTCACTTTGAATATTTCTTGCCACTCCCTTCTGGCCTGACAAAGTTTCTGTTGAAAAATCAAATGACAGTCACATGGGCAATCCCTTGATAATCGCAAATTTCTTTCACCAGAAAGGGGAAGTTTGCTGTCATCATTCTTCAGAGGTTTTCAATAAATTGCTCTCTTTCTCTTCTCCTTCTGGTACACCCATAAGGTGAATGTTGATACACTTGAAGTTGTCTTCAAATTTTTGGATTATTTTTCTTTTTCTCTTCTGGTTGGGTGTTTTTTGCATCCTCATATTCCATATCATTGATTAGATTCTCAGAATCCTCTACTCTACTGTTGAATCCATGTAAATGATTCTTTATTTCAGCAAGTGTAAGCTTAATTTCAGACCAGTCCTTTTATATGTCTTTGATATTCTAAGATCCTGAAAGTCTCATGAAGGTCCATGAGACTTATAACCATGGTTTTAAACTCAGTGTCCAATAGTTTTCTTGCTTCCATTTCTTTCATTTGTGACATTAGTCTTCACATTTTGGCTGCTTCCCTGTGTCTATTTCTATGTTACTAGGTAGAGCTGTTATATCCCATGGAATTGGTAGAGTAGCCTTGTCATAGGTGTATTGTATGGCCCAATCACTCAGCCTCCCGAGTCACCCGAGCTGGGCACTCTAGGTGCACACCTGTGTTGGCAGTTTGCAGTCTTGTAGTTGATCCTTGATTGCTGTTGGTGTCACTGGGAGGTGTTGACCTCCAGGCCAATTGACTGTGAATACCAAATAGGACTACAGTCGGGGAGCTGCTGTGCAAGAACCACCACAATGACGCAGGACTTGCTTCAGTGAGGCTTTGGTGCGCGCTGAGTCTGCCTCTTTAGTGTGTTGCTTGTGGATGTATAGAATTGCAATCTGCTATTGTCAGAAGCTGTCCACTGGGTACACTGGCTGGGATCAGTCACTGCTTGGGGCCACCTGGTAGGAGTTACAGAGGGAACTGTAGATGGCTGCTATTTGCTATTCGTATTGGGCTTGGAGGTGCCCAGGCGAGGACCAGATGTAAAGCTGGTGCTAGTGTGGGACTTGGGACTTTTATTATTAGGTTCAGGGCACACTATCACCAGCTGTAGCTTGTTTGAGAGATTTTAGCAAAGTCTGAAACTTGAGCCAGGACATGCCATTCATATGGAAAAACCTGCTTCAAACAGCCTGGGTGGGGATGCAAATTGGATCGCGCAGAGTCTCAGGGAATCCCCAGGGTGGAGCAAATAGTGCACTCCAGGCTGATGGAGACGCATATATGGCTGCCAGTCAGCCCTGAGACAGGGGAGGTCACAACACAGGAAGGTGATCCCTGCAAGCCCCCTAGTGTGGGAGAAAGCTTACTCCCCAAGTTCCTACCTCAATGCCAGATAATCCAGTCCCTCCGTTATGTGTCTGGGTCTCCCAAAGACACCTAGTGCTGGACACCTAGTAAGTTCATGAACCAGCCCTTTAAAAGAAACAACTGGGTCTCTAGCAGCCTCTGAGACCCTCAGCCACAATGCCCTATGGATTTTAGAGCCCAACATCGAGCACTTCTCTTCCAAGCTCTAGAACTCTGGGCTGGGGCTTGGGAGGCTGCGGTCCTTTGCGTCTCTGCAGAGACTATCTCCCTCATGATTAAAATAACGGCATACATGGGTGTCATACCAGCCTGTTCACAATCTTTGCCCCTCCTACCAGTTTTAATGCGTCCTCTTATTTAGTTCTCTAGTATAGGACTTCCATTCAGCCAGCTTTTAGATGGTTCAGAATAATGGTAGTTCTGTATTTTAGTTTTACTTTTGATGTCATTGTGAGTCGGCAAGTACAGTCATTTACTTACCCTCCCGTTTTAGTTCTCTCCCTCCATTTGAACATCTATATAAACTTCAGGATCAGAATAACAATTTCTGCAAACAAGCCAGGAGAGACTTTGATAGGGATTGTGTTCAATCTGTAAATCAGTTTAAGGAGCACTGCTATCTTAATTCAATCAATTATTCTGACCCATGAATATGGGATGTCTTTCCATTTATTTAGATCGTTAACTTCTTTCAATATGTTGTAGATTTAGAGTAAGTTTTACACTTCCTTTTGATACTATTATAAATCAAACTCCATTTTTGGGTTGTT